TGCTAACAGTGTTTATATCTGATTAATGAGATAGAAGGTGATTTTAAGTTTTTATACATTTTTTGTATTATCTAAAACTTAGAAATTAATTTAATGTTTTTAATTAATAGACTGTTCTTTAGAATAGTATTAGGTTTATAGAAAAACCAAGCTGATGGTACAGAGAGTTCCATATACTCACACTCAGTTTCCCCTATTATTAACATCTTACATTAGTGTGGTATATTTATCACAACTAATGAACTACTATTGATTACTGTTATTAACTAAAGGCCATACTTAATTCAAGTGTTTTTAGTTTTTACCTAATGTCCTTCTTTTGTTCAGGATCTTACCCAGAACAACCCATTACATTTAGTAGTCATGTCTCCTAGGCTCTTCTTGGCCGTGGTTGTCTTTAATGGCCATGCAGTTTGGAGGCGTACTAGTCAGGTATTTTGATGGAACTTGTCCTGTGTTTTTCTTATGATTAGACTCAGGGACTTGGGGGAGGAGGATCATAGAGATAATGTGTTATTTCATTACATCATATCAAGGGTACATACTATCAACACAATAGATTAGTATAGTAGGTATAATATAATAATAACAATATGATAATATAGACTAAATGACTGGATTCAATTGTTTCTATGTTTTATTGGTTTGGTTTTTTTGGTACTGTATTCCCACCCCCCTCAAAAAAAAGAATCAGTGCTCAGATTTTTTTTTATTAGTTCTATTATTTTTCTTTTTTATTATGCTTAATTCATGTATTTCCTTTTTTTTTATTTGCTAGTATAAGTAAAACAGTCATAATTTCCTCTGAGCACTATTTTAGTGGGATCCCACAGATTCTAATACATGGAACATTTCTTATTCTTATTCTCTAGGTATTCTGCAGTTTTTATAGAGAGCTCTTTTTTTTTTTTTTTAATCCTCACCTGAGGACATTTTTGCATTTATCTTCAGATAGCAGGAGGGAGAGTGGGAGGAAGAGAGAGAGAGAGAAACATCGACGTGAAAGAAAGACATCGACTGGTTGCCACCCACACAACCCCAACCGGGGCCAGGGACAAACTGCAACTGAGGTACGTGTCCTTAGTGGGAACCGAACCCGGGTCTCTCTGGACTGCGGACCGATGCTCTAACTGCTGAGCCAGACTGGCCAGGGCTAGAACTCTCTTTTTATATTAAAAAAATCTGGGTTGTCTAAAAGCGAGTTTATTATTTATTTACTTATCTTTAGCCATTTTACTGTTTATACCATAGTCACATTTAAGTTGTCGAAACTACTCCATAACAAACAGGACAGAGACCTGTCATGCAAAGGAAAGTAAGTGAAGGTTTTCCTAAAGCGTGAGGAGGGAAGTACTGCAGTAACACGGGTGGCCGCAGCAATCCGACAGCAGCACCAAGGTGTGCGAGCGGGTAGGAAGGAATAAAGGGGGCTCCCTCAGTAGCTGGCCTACTTATGTTGGCTGAGACCATTGCAGTTTCCTGAGGGGAATTTCCTAACACACTTGGTAAGCCGCTCACTTAGAACATAGAAGTAAACGGAGCAGGGTGACTAAAAGAGACTTTTTAAAATGTTCAAGTGGTAGAGTTTTGTGATCCATAATTTTGTGATTAATTTCTAGTTTATCTTCTGTTATTAGATTCTATATTATTTCAGCTTTTTGGGTGAGGTTTTATTTGTAGCCTAATATATGGGAAAACTTTTTGAAATATACATCAATTAAACCTGTCATATTGATTTTTCTGTCTTTACCTAATTTGGACCCTTGATCTGTCATGAAAGAAAAGAGGTAAATTAAAATCACCTGCCTTTACAGTGTATCTGTCTGTTGCTCCTTGTGTTTCCTGTTCCTTGTGTAGTGTTTGCTCTGAATTTTGGTGCTGCTGCTTGGTTTGGTTAGATCTTCAATTGTGGGTCATGTTTTTCATTAATGTAAAGTGTTCTTCTTTGTCTCATTTAAAACCATTTACCCTGAATTCAACTTTACTTGACAATAGTAGGTGATAGTGCCTGTTTAATCTGAGGTGGCACTTACCTGGTATATATTTGCCCTTCTTTTATTTTTAAAATTGTCGAGTCACTTTGCTTTGGAGATATCTCCTGTAGGAAGCATACTGTTAGGGGTTTGGTCTTGTTCCCCAATCTTTGAATCCTTTCTTTGTAGTAGTTTTCTGTGGCCATTCATTGACACAGCTGGTATTTTGGTCTTAGTTTTCCTATCAGATTTTGTTTCTTTGTCTCTTTGCTTCTATTGCTTTTAAAAACAAAATCTTCCGTGGTATGGTCTGTTTTATTTTGTGTTGTGTTCCTTCTGACAACTGGAAGGTTTGAATTTTCAGTTCTTCTGGAGGTAGCCTTTACAACTATGTAAAGTGCATTAATTTTTTAAAGACTGTACTAGTTGTCTCCCTTCTGAAAAAAGCGATCATAGAATTAGTTTGCAAATTTGGTCATAATTTTTATCTGCTATGTGGCAGCTTTTTTTCTGGTGAGTTTTCTTGGTTTCTAATTTTTTTCCCCTGTTCTTTAGTTCCTTTATTTCTCCTCTAGCATCCTGGACTATATTGTGTGCTGGTCACTCTTTGAAAGAGGCAAACCTTCTAAGATTGGTGTTTTCCAGGGGTGCATATAGAGGAGGTTCATGGAAGTGTTCCTGGAGAGCAGGATTGTTCTAGGTTCATGGTAGCTCTGCACAGGACTGTGGCAGTGATGTCTTTTTTTCTTTTCTTTATTGATGTTAGAGAGAGAGAGAAAGGGAGAGGGAGAGAGAGATAGAAACATCGATGAGAGAGAACATCGATTGGCCACCTCCTGCATGCTCCCCACTGGGCATGTGCCCTGACCGGCAATCGAAGCAGCGACCTCTTGGTGCATGAGACGACACTCAACCACTGAGCCACACTGGTCTTTTAGCTTCTACCCAGACAGCAGAGACCTGCAGCTATAGCCTTCCCCTAATTCAGGCCCTTCTCCTGCTCTGCCTCACCAACACACGGCCCCCCGTGGAGATGGCTGGCCTGTGGTTTTGTTAGCCCCGTCCTCCTCCTTCCTCCTCTCTCCCCCTGCCTCCCACTCACCTTCCCACGGAGACTCCGCCCCATCCTCAGATGGTTGCCTTATGTTCATGTCCATGTTCCTGGGTGACCTGGTGTCACAGGCATCTGCCAATGTACATACCCTGTTCCCATTGTTCCTGATTAGGAATCACTGGGTTTTTTCCTTCAGAGAGTGCCAACTGAGAGAGATCTGCCAGCTTCATCCGAGCTTTGCAGCCACAGGTGTCTCGTGTAGGTGTTTTCTCACACCCCGTTTGGTCTTCACTGCTTTGGGTAGGTCTTTACTGTTTTTGGCAGCCTCTCCTTCTAAGTTGCGGTTCAGATTACAAGTGTGTTCTAGTTTTGCAGAAGATAGAATTTACATTTCTGTGTCGTCTCCTTCTCTTTTATTTTGTGTGATTTGGGATATGAAAAGGCATAGCTTCATTCTGCTACGTTAGAACTGTCTAGTGTTGTGACTTTTCCTTGTTACGTGTTCTGGCCTTCCTCCAGATTACACATTGGCCAGAGCTCTCTGGATGGAGTTGGGATGAGCTGAAGCTGGGGTCTAACCATAGGAAGGAAAGAAAATGGGAGTTGAGAGAAAAGTAGGAGCGCTAAAAAAGAAATGCACAGCATCCCTCCCTGCCAGCACGCTTCTTTCCCTCTCCATCCACCTGCACTTTGGCTGAGAGTGTGCCATTATTTGGGTGGGAGGTCATGGCAGGGGATGAAAACCATCTGTCTCCTGGTCTGTTTCAGTGGAAGTGGTTCTGAGCCCAGCAACACTCAGGCCAGGGTGGGGAGGGCACATGCATTGCTCTGCGCTGGCTGCAGGGCTCAGCTCTCCATCTCAACCTCCACCAGGGCCCATCCAAGCACCCTGGGCTCTGGCTGGTCTCCTGGTGATGGTGGCCAAGTCCTCCTCCCCCAAAGCTAGAATCCTGCCTCAGAGCAGGTTTCCAGAGTTAATGCTGTTAATGGTATTTATATGCCCCAAGAAAGAACTTGTCCCTCCAAAGGGAAAGGGTTCACATGGGATACCCAGAGGGTAGACCCAGACACAGAGTCTCAGGCTAGCCCTTTATATTATTGTCTCTCAGGTTCTCACACCACCTAGAGGGAGGCATTTTATCTCCATGCTACAGAAGAGGAAACTAGAGTCTTGGAGAGGTTAAGAGACCTTCCTGTGGACACACAGCTAAGAGATGGAAAGGAGTTTGGATGCAGTTTCTTTTGGTTCCAGAGCCTGGCACCGGTTCCCTTATCCCCATGCTTCCTGCCCCCTTCCCATGAAGACCCCACCCCATCCTCAGATGGCTGCTGGTGTCCATGTCCACATCTCTGGGCGATCTTGCTGAATCCTCACTCTGTGTCTTGCTTATTACACCTGGCTATATTTTAGATGCTATTTAAGCTCCCCAAGGCAGCCAGGGAAAGGAGACAAGGGGCCATAGCCTACATATCTTCGGCCCCCATGTCTTAAGCAACTGCGTCCCCCCAGCCTTGGCACAGGGCTTGTCCTGTGGAATCGAATGCACCTGGGTTCCTCTCCAGCCTCTGTGGTCTTGGACAAGTCACTTAACTTCTATGGGCTCGGTCCACATTTCTAAAATAAAATGACCTATGACTCCTCCAAGTACAGAACATGGACTCTGAAGCCAGATGGCCCAGGTTTGAATCTTGGCTCAGCCCCTTATTAGCTGTGGGGCTTTGGTTAATTACCCTTTCTCTTTTAGTTTTCTCATGAGTAAGATGGGAATAATGTGTATGTCATAGGGAGGTTTAAGGATTAAATGAGCTAATAAATGTAAGTCATTTAGAACAGTGTCTGGCATACGGCAAGTATTAGGTGTCAGATATTATTATATTAATTATAATGAATGCATGGGAAGTGCTCAGCCCAGGCATGGGCATATACGCGGTCGATGCTGCTGTTATAGCCTGTGCCCTCTGCTTCCTTCCAGGAGCTTGGGCCCCTGCCCCAGCCCGGCAGAGGCTGTGGAAGTACACCGTCCGGAAGCCTGGTTCCCAGGCCCCTGGCCCATCCCTGGCTGCGGGGAGTGGCAGCTCCCACGAGGTAGCGGTGGCCTGCAGCGGTGGCCCCTCCTGGCAGTGAACCATGGGCCAGAAGCTCTCGGGGAGCCTCAAGTCAGTGGAGGTTCGAGAGCCGGCGCTGCGGCCGGCCAAGCGGGAGCTGCGGGGAGCAGAGCCGGGGAGGCCCGCGCGGCTAGACCAGCTGCTGGACATGCCCGCGGCGGGGCTGGCCGTGCAGCTGCGGCACGCGTGGAACCCCGAGGACCGTTCGCTCAACGTCTTCGTCAAGGACGACGACCGGCTCACCTTCCACCGGCACCCGGTGGCCCAGAGCACTGACGGCATCCGCGGCAAAGTGGGCCATGCCCGCGGCCTGCACGCCTGGCAGATCCACTGGCCCGCTCGGCAGCGGGGCACCCACGCGGTAGTGGGCGTGGCCACGGCCCGGGCACCCCTGCACTCGGTGGGCTACACCGCGCTGGTGGGGAGTGACGCTGAGTCGTGGGGCTGGGACCTGGGCCGCAGTCGCCTCTACCACGATGGCAAGAACCGGCCCGGAGTGGCCTACCCGGCCTTCCTGGGGCCCGAGGAGGCCTTCGCGCTGCCAGACTCGTTGCTTGTGGTGCTGGACATGGACGAGGGCACGCTCAGCTTCGTCGTGGACGGCCAGTACCTGGGCGTGGCCTTTCGTGGTCTCAAGGGCAAGAAGCTGTACCCGGTGGTGAGTGCTGTGTGGGGCCACTGTGAAGTCACCATGCGCTACATCAATGGCCTTGACCGTAAGTGCAGCCAGCTGTGTGGGGGGTAGGGAGTTCCAGAGTCGCCGGTCCCTGGGGGAGTCGGAGAGGGTGGCCGGAGGTAGGTGAGGCCCCGCCCTCCGTGTGCACGTGGGATGACCCTGCCACGTGTAGAGTGTGGTTAGAACATGGGCTCTGGGGCCAGGCAGTTCGATTCTGCACTGTCTTTTGCTGGCTTAGTGATCTTGAGCTGTGCCTCAGTTTCCCATTCTACAAAAGAGGCACAGTGTTAGTAATTTTGGTCGGGGTTGTGTTGAAGATCAAATAAGATAATAATATATGTGAAGTGATTAGAAGAGTAACTGGCTTTGAGTGTTGACCTAATTTTGAAATTTTTGGTCTGCATAAGGGTTATGCAAAATGATGACAGCAGGAGGAGAGTGGCAAGTGGAAGGCACAGCCCCTGTACTGAGTGCCATGCATTGAAGTCGCTGGATAATAATGATAGCAGCTATCATTTATTGACCACCTGTACACAGGGCCGAACACCCAAATTCCAGCTCTCCTGGAGAACTGTCTGTCGGGGCAGCTGCCTGTCCTCTGTAGCTGATTATTGCCTTTGCCTCATGGGAATGAGAGCTGCAAGTTGTGAAATCTTCTGGGTTTTGTTTTTTTTCCAAGAGGACCCAGAAATCTAGATTTTGAGCGAACTATCCTAGTTTTAAAGTTGGCCGCTGCTGAAAACACCATGGAGGCCAACAAAACACATGTCAGGCTACAGACAAGCCCATAGGCTGCTGGGTTTGACCCCTAATAAGTCTAAGGTCTCCTCTCATTTAATATACACAGGCGTCCTGTGAGGCAGCAGTAACAAAAGGGGTGATTGGTCTTAGGGCGCAGGCACTCCTGGAGGCAGGGTGGCCTCCAGACAAAGGCGCGTGTGGACGCCTGTCCCACACACTCCTTGTCCAAACAGGCATCCTCCTCACCCCGACGAAGCTCACGGAGGTGGGCACTGAAAGCCAGAGTTTCGGTGTATTTGTTCTAAGTGAGAGCTATAATCGCCCCATCTCAGAGATGAGAAAACTGAAGAGCGGGGCTCCAGAGAGCGAGTACCAGGTCTCCCCCGCTCTGTGAGCCTCTGAAGCCCACTCTTTCTTCTGCTTCCCCCCATAAGTTGAGGGGCTGCAAGTAACACTCAAGAAAAGTCCAGCACAAGATTTTACTCAAGTAAGATTTCCACTTACTCAAGGGCAGAGTGGGTTGACTTTACAAGGGTGGCAGGCCAACAGGCAGTGGCTGACACGCTCAGCTCTGCGGTGGAATCGGTGGTGTTCTTGTTCATATTTTATTCTTGTGGTTGTTGGACTAAGATTGCCATTGAATGTCACAACGTGGTTTGCTCTGATTAACTGGTTAAATCTCAGAGCGGATGAGCGTGTCCTGAGAAGGCTGGTTGGTCATCCCAGTGCCTTGTGGAGAATGTCTGGATCCCTCGTGGACATGGTGACCAGGCAGACCTCAGGGCTGAGCAAACCAACACCAACAACACTCTCTTGAAACGGAATTGGAAATTTTCCTTGCCAGAATTGATCACTGGTCTAGACAGGTGGGCTTGGTGCAGGGCTCTTGAGTCTGAGCCGCCTTACTTCCAATGCAACCCAAACCCTCCGTGGTTTTGTGTCTTTGGTGAGTCAGTCACTCTTAACACCTTACGTCTCATTTTACTCATCTATAAATTGGGACAGTATCAGATCCCTTTCACAACTACTGTGAGATCTTGTGTGGTGGCACCAATACTATGGTAGCTGGGATTAAAGGCTGACATTGATGCCCTGTGGGAGTTACCTGAGCCAACAGTTGGGCCTCAACTGAGCTTCCTCTTGGGTATTAATTCACACTCGGGTATTATCTGTTGCTTGGATTCCAGGCACAGAGCTAAGGTGCTGACAAGGTTGCAGCCAGTGGCCCTCTCACGCATGATAGGACTGGGAGCAGTCAAGCCCTGGTGTCCTCCTTGGTGCACTGCTGAGGGTGGGCATCCGGGTGGGAAAAACGGTTGTGTTTGGGGCATTTTGAGCTCTTGGATCCTTTAAGAGGCTAAAGAAACTTGAGACTGGAATTTAGAGTGTTCCGTCCTCCCACTGGCAGTGATTTTTTTCAGGTTGGCTGAAGCTGGAATGGCTATCCCAGACTCAAGGGGAGTCCAGGATGTCATGTGACGAGAGCCAATGGCATCTCCCATTCAGTGACAGGATTGACTTGTCTGCTCTGGCACTGGCCTGTTCCCCTGAGAGAAGTAATGTTCTCTGTCTCAGGCAGGGTATGACTGAAGAATCGGGGAGCTCATCCTCTCTGGGCTTCAAAAGTCCCATGGTCCATGGGACAAGCCCTTGCCTATGCAATAAGCCATAGCACAGGCTGCAGTGGAGTCTGACAGAGGCTGGTTGGGAAGGGACTCTGCGATGCCTATACCTGGTGACCTGGGCTGAAGTCCACCAGTGGATCCCTGGGCGCTGGGAAGGGTTTGGCCTAGGGAGTCTCTGGGCAGGGCAGGTGACCCAAGGTGGGGTTCTGTGCATGAGAAGAATTCTGAGCCCACACTGGTTGTGGAATGATTGCAGGTCCCCACACTCAGACCCTATTGGGATGTAGCTGCAGTTAGAGACAGGCTCGAGAGCAGAGGGGTGGGGCTGTTTTCTGGGGTTGCTTCCCCGCAAGATCACGGGGGCAGAACTCTGCCAAGGCCCCTCACAGACCCCAACACTCACCGGGAGGCCATATGGACAAGGAGTACGTCCTCTCTCTGCACCCCATGGTTCTCCTTTGTAAAACGAGCATGAGAAAGCCCACCGGCACATAGCAGGCGCACAGCGATCAGGGCTCCCTGCTTTGACCAACCGGTGAGCTGGCCCAGGTCCTGGGATTCACCTATAGACTAAAACAAAAAATGGCCTTAACAGAGGCTTCTCCTCTAATGTGATTAAAGTAAGTTATACCATTTTCTCAATTTTTGAGTTTTTATGCCTGTAAAAGCAAGACTTGGAAAGTGCTAACTGCATTTAACACCGGAGCATGTGTTTGTTTCTGGAAGTGCTCCTTCCTTTGCAGTGTGTTTCTTCAGCTGCGCCACGGAGTGAAGGAGCTCAGCATCCCGGGCTTTGCCGTAAACAGCTGACGCCCGTGGGCTCTGCCACCTGAGAGAGCTGAGAACGGAGGAGCCGAGGCCAGGCAAATCGGCAAGTTGTCTCCAGATGACAGGGTCCAGAGCCCAATAATAGCAATAGCAATAACTAGTACTTACATAATAACGGCAAAAACGAATATAGTGCTTAGTCTGTGCTGGGCTCTATTCTAAGCACTTTACAAATTCTAACTCATTTAGTCCTTATAACAACTCTTTCAGCTAATACTTATATTATTATCTTTATTTTACAATGAAGAATTGAGGCACAGAGAGCTTGAGAAAGTTGTTCCAGGTCACACAGCTAGTAACTGGGGTAACCAGGACTCACAATGGCAGACTGGTCCAATGGGCCCCTTGTGAAGATGTTTGCAGACAAGGCAGGAGGAGAGTGCAAAGGAGAGGCTGCTTCGTCAGGCCAAGTGCAGCAAAGGGCAGGGCCCTTTCCTTCAGCCAAGAGTTTGGGTGAGGCCCTGAGATGCTTCCCTGTGCTTCCTCCTCCCACCGGCTTCATCTCCAGCCTTCAAAGCTCTTGGCTCAGCACGAGCTCCTTAGGGTGTTCCAAAAAGCTCGTTGCATGAAGACAGCGCCAGCCGTGGCCTCGAATCACACATGCTTTGCTTGCTAACGGGATAATGTCACTGAAAATGTCCCAACTGCTGTGAGGTTGGCCCTGGGTGGGCCAGACCTTGGGAATCAGCTTTATTGATGGACACTTGGGCTGTTTCCAGATCTTAGCTATTGTAAATAGGGCGGCTATGAACACAGGGGTACATGTATTCTTTCTGATTGGTGTTTCAGGTTTCTTAGGATATATTCCTAAAAGTGGGATCATTGGGTCAAATGGCAGCTCTAGGCTGGTTTCAGGAATTGCTCCTGGGGTCATGCCCCTGGCTCCCCCTCCATGCTGGCTGCCAGGAGGGCTGATGGACTGGCCTGTCTCCTGTCTTGGAGTCCTTGGGTGGTGAGTGTTACATGAGTGACACAGGATGTGGAGAGGAGCACAGACAGAGACCAGCAGGCTTGGAGTCCCGAACCGCTTTGATTTGAGGGTCATGGTAATTATACTTTTTCAAAGATGCCACCCATGTTCTATGCCTTGGGCCAAGTGTTGTACTCATTTTATTCTTTTTTTTGGTTCACACAATAAACCTTGAGGCAATGTGACTATTATTATCCACATTTTATAAAAGAGGAAACTGATTCTTGGAAGGTGAAGAATTTGCCCAAAGCCACACAGCTAGTAAGTAGCAGAGCTGTACTCAACCCGTACCAGAGCCACTCCTGTGCGCTGCCCCCGCTGCCTGGGCCAGCCCGGCCCCCATTCTGCCCAGAGCAGGGCCTGAGTCCACAGAGCAGGTGTTGGTGTCCCGGGCTGGCTTTCTGGGGGGTGGAGAGTGGGAACCGTAGGATCTTGGGCCTAACTGGCAGAGAGGGATTGTCTGCCTGCATTGAGCCAGGAAAATTGTATTTCCAGACGCAGTTCCTAGATGGTTTAATTGATCTGCCAACAACTATTTATTGGCGCAGTGGCTCAGCAGAGGAGTCTGGCGGCCAGCCAAGGTTTCTGGTATTGATGAAGGCCAGAGAGAGTTTTCTACCAGAATGACTGCAAGGACACCATCCCCTTGCCAGAGCTGTCCTCCCAGTCTGCGCTGAACTCACGACCTTCCTGCTCAACTCCCAAGTGTCTCCTGGGTGGCACGATCCTCACACCCCTGCTGACATCTGAACTCAGCTCCTCTTCCCTCCTGACCAGGTCCACCCCTGCCCTATCATTCTGCCCTGACTCCAGCTCACCCCCAGCGCTCAGCCCAGGACTGTCTCCTGCACCCTCACTTCAGCACTGAGTTCTCCC